GAGTGCCGTCTCAAGGAGATGGAAGCTATTAAAAATGGCGGGCCATCAAATTCTGTTGGAGAGCTTCCAAAGAGCAGGGCGTGAATATATATATATATATATATAAATGACTAAGGACACCAAGAACCAAATCAGTCTACGGCTTTTCTTCGGTGGTGGCCCGTGAAAAGGTGCAGACATTGGCCTTCTCGTAAAGTATACCATCTCCTTAGAATTATATAAGTGAGGCTACGCATTTTGAGATGGTGTTGTCATTTTTGTCGGCATCTTTGCCGTTTCACCTTCGCAGAGAAATTTAAAACCACGAAATAAATTTTTTCTACCCGGTAACGCTCTCAGCTTTTAATCATTCGTGTGTAATTAACAGGGGAATGAAACCGTATGATGAAACTCAGTGTCCATAAAGGCCCAACAAGTAAATGAAGTCGGTGTTCAGGAGAAGATTGAAGCATATGAAATGAGAACTTCTTCAAAACGGGGTGTCGCTTGAGGCAACGTTTCGGCAAGTGGTATTCCTTGACGGCACGCGTAAGCAACGCTGTTGCTGCCTAGAAAAAAAAAAGCGAGAACACTTGCGAAATGTTGGTTCATGAGAAACCCACCGTGTCTACATTTTTCTCTTCAGTTTAATGCGAGAATAAATTAAACGCTCGTTACATCGCAATTCTCGGGACCACAAAGTATGTCCGAAAAAAGTGGCAATTACCCGAATGCTGAATTTTTACAAGTAAAAATTGCCATAAGAAGTTCGGCATATCGCAAATTGATGTTATGCGAAGGAAATCTGACGGGGGGGGGGGTAATTTTTTGATTGAGTGGTATGTTGCGAGATGGCGCTGAAGATATATCTTGAACGGACGCGCCGGGTGGTTGGTGGTGTGGTGCTGTTCAGCGTGTTCGGTAATGTGCTGTTTCGCCGTATATGAACAAATATTGCGCTACGCGTGCGAGGGAACGTGCGAAAGGGGTGTCGGGAATCATCGGGCCGACGTCTATGCGTGATGACAGTCTTACATCACGCGAAACGTGCGTCCATGAAGTGTAGGCCTACAACACCGGGCTCTTCCTAGTGAACTTCGACCATCAGTGTTTCCGACTGCACACGGAAGGTGACGGAAGGCTACTCGCCGGCACCACTGTTAGGGCAAAAGCGCAACAAAGCAGCAAAATGTAGGTTTGTTTACCTCGACACCGTTCTGATGTTGGCGTCGAAAGGGGCTCTGCATCTCACCCAAACAGTTGGCATGCACTTTATAATTCATTTTAACTTAAATACCTTCCAAGGGCATATTTGGCCCGGCTATTTCGTAGGTGTTCTGTATGTCTCAACACAAATCTATCTTACTCATTACCTCGCTTTCAAATTTTTCTGGCAATACTCCTTTAATGTGACGCCTCATATCAACAAATACCTCTATACTTGAGGTTAACACTTTCAGGCTAGTCAGAAACATTCGGTAAACACTGACTTCGATCTCATAAGAGCCTTTAGAAATGTCAAAAGGAACTTTTAGAATAATAAATTGATATCTGCACGTTCGCCTTCGTCAGTGTCAGGATCCTAAGTAAATCATGCTTGCCCATCTAACAAGAAAGTTTTAGGTTGCAACACGAATAGACGTGTTTCGTAATGAAATATACGTGCTTGTGTGCATGCTTGTTAATGCGCTCAAATCTCCCTGACTAAGTTACTGTGCTTACATGTTTCAATCGTCAGATGTAACTATTTAATATTTTTGGGTATTGCGAATGGTACTAGGAATCGGTGCTTTATTTCTTATCAAACAGGTGAGAGTACCAGCCAGAAAAAGCTCAGGTGCAGTTACACTAGCTCCGCCCTCCTAAGAGTAAACACTTTGGCAATTATACTGTAGTGTATACCAGCAGTCTTTTAACACGGTAAATGAACAGTGAGTGACAAAAGTAGAACATGGTTGACAAGTAGATTTATCAGCATTGCAATGAAATTTCATAGGAAAATATTAATAATAAAACCACTGTGCAACCTGTAGTGCATAATCAAAAGCCGCATTTCGGTAAAGTTATGAATAATGACAAGTAAAGTCCGATATGTGCCTTATTGTTTTTTCCAGAAAATGAACTCCGAAAAACATCCTCTAAATTTCAAGAAAAATATTCTCCGAAAGGACGGAGCTTTAACCCCTTGATTACGTGCCAACAACGCAAGTGTGGGCAGGTATTATGCCTTTCTAAAAGCACTCGGCCATTCTGACTGTTCAGGAATGCCGTTTTTGATTGTTCGCGTTTGACATTTGACGTGCCTAGTGCTCTCCGCACTCCGAGAATCAAATCAAATCATATCAATGTATCAAACATAACAACAATTTGAAGCCATCAAGCCACACACGTGCTTTCCGGGGCCACAAGACGTGTACAAATCAACCCATTTACGAAGTAACGAGCCTTGAAATAACGAACCTCTGTTTTCGTTATTTACTGCAGTAACTCCGCTAAACGTTAAAAAACTGCCACTTGAATTGACTCCAAATGCGATCAATGGCATATTGATGGAAGCTCTTAGAAAGTGAAACATTTTTATCGACGACAACCGGTGGCTATATGGACTGCAGAAACACAAACGCACAAGCCGTTGCGTAGGTACGTAACGAGAAAACAAAAGATGCAGAGAGAGCTGAAATCATGACGAGATACTATCATGAACGCTCTGTAATGTCAACATGTGCCTTCTCGAGTCCGTGCTTCGCTTCCTGCCACATGAAATTTAATCAATTGACGGCACTGGCACTGCTGCATGCGGTGACTTGAAGCAAAAAGTGTAAGCGTGAACGGTTTATATGCAAAACGGAACGCTTTCTCTTGTTGCTTGACTAATAGGTTAAATTTTCGTTGACCCATATTCATTATTATCCTTCAGTTGAAGTCAGTGTTCGACAGCCCATATATTTCAACGCCGCAAAAGATCGTGTGTCCCGAAACGTCGCATGCGGCACGCCGCACCATGCGACGCCGCACGCCGCATCGCACGGAAAATCGCACGTCTGTCTTGCGCTTAATGCGCTACGCGTGCGAGTGAACGTGCGAAAGGGGTGTCGGGAATCATCGGGCAGACGTCCATGCGTGATGACAGTCTTACATCACGCGAAACGTGCGTCCATGAAGTGTAGGCCTACAACACCGGGCTCTTCCTAGTGGACTTCAACCATCAGTGTTTCCGACTGCGGACGGAAGGTGACGCAAGGCTACTCGCCGGCGCCGCTGTGAGGGCAAAAGGGCAACAAAGCAGCAAAATGTAGGTTTGTTTACCTCGACCCCGTTCTGATGTTGGCGTCGAAAGGGGCTCTGCATCTCACCCAAACAGTTGGCATGCACTTTTTAATTAATTTCAACTTAAATACCTTCCAAGGATATATTTGGCACGGCTATTTCGTAGGTGTTTCGTATGTCTCAACACAAATCTATCTTACTCATTACCTCGCTTTCGAATTTTTCTGACAATGCTCCTTTAATGTGACGCCTCATTTGAACAAATACCTCTATACTTGAGGTTCGCGTTTTCAGGCTAGTCAGAAGCATTCGATAAACACTGACTTCAATTTCATCAGAGCCTTCAGAAATGTCAAAGGGCACTTTTAGAATAATAATTTGATATCTGCGTGTGCGCTTTCATCAGGGGCTGGAACCTAAGTAAATCATGCTTGCGCATCTAAGAAGAAACCTTTAGGTTGCAATACGAACAGACGTGTTTCGTAATGAAATAAATGTGCTTGTGTGCATACTTGTTGTTGTGCTCAAATCTGCCAGACTATGTTACTGGGCTTACACATTTCAATTGTCAGATGTAACCATTTAATATTTTTGAGTATTGGGAATATACTAGAAATCGGTGCTTTATTTCTTATCAAACAGGTGTGAGTACCGGCCAGAAAAAGCTCAGGTGCAGTTTCACTAGCTCCACCCTCCTAAGAGTAAACACTTTGGCAATAATACTGTAGTGTATATCAGCACTCTTTTAACACGGTAAACAAACAGCGAGTGAGAAAAGTAGAACATGGTTGACACGCAGGTTTATCAGCATTGCAATTAAATTGCATAGTAAGATATTATTATTAAAACCACTGTGCAACCTGTAGTGCATAAGTAAAAGCCGCATTTCGGAAAAGTTATGAATAATGACAAGTGAACTCTGACATGTGTCTTATTGTTTTTTCTAGAAAATGAACTCCGAAAAACACCCTCTAAATTTAAAGAAAAATATTCTTCGAAAAGACGGAGCTTTAACCCCCTAATTACGTGCCAGCAACGCAAATGTGGGCAGGTATTACGACTTTCTGAAAGTACTCGGCCATTCTGACTGCTCAGGAATGCCGTTTTTGATACTTCGTGTTAGTTATCTTACGTGCCTCGTGTTCTGTGCTCTTCGAGTACATTAACATTAACCAGATTGTGGACCAACATAACAAAAATAACGACAGTTTAAAGCCTTCAAGCAACACACATGCTTGCTAGGGCAACAAGACGTGTGCAAATCACCCCATTTACGAATTAACGAGCCTCAATTACTGAACCTATGCTTTCGTTATTTAATGCAGTGACTCCGTCAACCGTTAAAAAAACTGCCGCTTGAATTGACTCCAAATGCGATCAGCCGCATGCTATTGGAAACACCCCGAAAGTGAAACATTTTTATTGACAAATGGTGGCTATATAGGCTGCAGAAACACAAACGCACAAGCCGTTCCGTAAGTACGTAACGAGAAAGAAAAGATGCAGAGAAAGCGAAATGAAATAATGACGAGACACTATCATAAACGCTCTGTAAGGTCAATATGTGCCTTCTCGAGTCCATGCTTCGCTTCCCGCCACATGCAATTTAATAAATTGACGGCACCGGCACTGATGCGTGCGGTGACTTGAAGCAAACAGTGTAAGCGAGAATGGTTTAAATGCAAAAGGGAACGCTTTCCCTAACGCCGCAAAAGGCACCCGAAAGCGCCTTACTGATACCCTTCAATGCCCACCTTTTTCAGGCACCTCAATAGCTTTCTCGTCCTCCTGCTGTGGCTCGGGAGAGCTTGCGGCAAGAGGCGTGAGCTCTGGAACAGGAGATGGTTCTGGCTGTGCAGCTGGTTCCGCAGGTGCTGGAGTCGGGGTTTCTACGGAAACTATCTCCGTTGTCGACTTGGACACGTCCTGAGGTAGTGAAGAACATGGAGCGTACACGAGCATGCATTAGAACGCTATTATGAACTTACGTATGTCTACACGCCATAGAAGAGATCATAGCACACAAAGTATGACCATAAAGCAAATGAACATAAAATACTAAAGCAGCTTCGCACTAATGGTTCCAAGCGCAAAGAAGTGTGGAACTGTGCAGCTTTCTCAGTTTCTTTCTTGTTTTCTCTTTTTTCTGTATCTCTTTCTTTCTTGATCCTCTTTCTCAATTCTCTTTTATCGCGATAACAATTATGAGGACACTCCCAGCTGGATTTTGCCGCCAACGTCGACGTCTACCCCGGCGTCGCCATCACTTCCAATAAATGTATACGGATATAATATATATATATACATATATATATATATATATATATATATATATATATATATATATATATATATATATATATATATATATATATATATATATATATATATATATATATATATATATATATATATATATATAAACGCAAGAAAAGAATATTGAAGAAAAATACTCCGGTGTGCGAAATCACGCGCGGCATCTTTTATGTGTGGCAGCGCGGCGTTAACCACTGGGCTATGAAGGAGCGCTTCCTTCAACTCTCAAATCGCAAGCTATTTATATCTAACACTTACCGCTGGTGACAGGCATCACGGGGGTTTCCGCGTCGTGTTTTCAGCGACGCGGAAAACACGACGAGATGGGGCAATAAGCGAGATGGGGCAAGAAGCGAGATGGCGCGTCGCCACATCGTCACGATGCAGCGGCGCGCACTCTCATCTCCTACGCGTACTTTGCCCCGCGGAAGAGTGGACGCTCACTCACGGGCTCTTATCTCGCGGTGCTGAGGATCGTATGTCTTGGCTGACTTCGGGCTTTCACCAGAACGATTCTGTTGTAGTTAGCGGGCACAAAGAGTGACAAAAATTGTTGCACATTCTCCATTTGCAAAAATGGCTCACTTTTCAACCACAGCGAAGTACCAACTGAGACGCATATTTGTCTTCATTCATACCTGTGAGAGCGTTTTATGCGTCATTTGTGCGTAAGAAAGGTGGAGCACGTTTATACCTGCTTGCCATTCTTCGTGCGACCTTCCAATTTGTTGCTATCGCGTTCATTGCTTCGTCTTTGCAGCAAAGTTGCAACTCTCTTTTGTTGTCTCCCCCCCCCCTTTTTAGATGCGGAGCATCTAATACTCGAGGCTTATAGTGCGGCGCCGTCCACAAGCTTCCTCCTCCTTCTTCCACCATCTGTGCATCCCTTCCTCCTCTACACACCGCGCGCGCTTCACTCCTCCACCATCTGTGCACCCTTCCTCCTCTACACACCGCGTGCGCTTCTCCTCTTCACGAACATTCGCTAGCTGTATAATGTAGCGTGCATGCGCCGTCACGCTTCGAGAACATCGGCAGCTGACGCGCGCGCATGCGCCGTTGCGCTTCTCCCCCTTCTCGAACATTCGACAGCTGACAGTGCATGCGCCGTCGCGCTGTATATATACTCAAGGTCGGTGCTCGCTCGCTCAGTTGCCGCTCGTCGGTTGGTTTGTACGGCGCGTCGACGTCCGAGGTCGCAATGGTCGACGTCCCTTCGACCAGCGCCGGCCGAAGTGTTGGCGGAACCGCATTGGATAGTCGAATACATGGCGTCGCGACACTCGCTGAAACGCGCAACGCACGACGACTGCCAACACCACCAGCCGACCACCATTCGCGGAACCTGCATCGACCACGTCTTTGCAAATTTCGACCTACGACCGCTGCAACCCGATCCACTCACTCTTCACTTTACCGACCAAAAAGCCATCGTGCTCAAAGTTTGTCGCAATAAATAAACACCGCCCTTTCGCATACGTGTCGCACGTGTTCACTCATTTAACACCCCTCCTACAACCACGTTAACCAATTTAGCCAGCGACCCAAGTAAGTCGCAATTTAACACCCCATTTCACAACCACGTTAACCAATTTAGCCATAGACCCAAGTCAGTCGCACTTTAACACCCCGTTAACCAATTATATGCTCCGCATCCACCTCAGTGTTCCCCCGAGGGAAGCTGCGGGCAATTTGTTTTATCTTTATTTCTCACTTGCTTCCTCTTGCATTTTTATGCGTTGTTTTGCCTGCTTTGCGGTTACATAACGATACAATCACCGCACATGACAATATGTGACTGTTCGGTCTCCTAAAGTGCTCCGCACTTGAGAAGTGGGCACCTATTTTCTACAGAAAGAATGCAAACTGAATCCAAGGTCAATGGAAACGACCACATACTGAATTCAAGTAATGGTAAATAACCCACTGTGATGCATATATGATTTGATTTCTTCTTTAGGGCTGTATTTTTGCAGACACATTTCGTTAAATTGAATAGTCTCTATTTTAGATCATGTAACTATTTATTACACGCAAACACTCACACCTACAAGAACCACCCTGACTTGCCCGGTATTCCCTTGTTGTGTCGCTGTGTGACACAATAAGAGCCCGCTGGCCAACGTGAGACCAATCCAGGAATGGTGCTGCGTTATAAGTTGCTGTAGCCTCTTCAGTTCAAACAAGTAGCGATCTAGCATGATGCGACCACACTCTGCAGGCTCCTATATGGGCGAAGAAGTGGGTGAGGGTTGGTGGTATAGAAGTGTTGCGGGATAACGGACTATGACCGAACTCAGTCGCTGAGAAGGAAAGCGGATACATCAAGAAAGAGGGCTGCGCAAGGGAGGAAAGAAGGTAGTGACTTGGGGTTGGAAAGAGTGAATCCTATAGAGTAAATTGAGGAGGGCTCAGATAATCAGGAAGGGGGAGGCAAATGAGCATTACTTCTGCTCAGTGAATTAGAGAGGAGGAACAACCGGATGTAAAAAGTGGAGAGGGGGAAGAGAGTTAACAAAAACACAAAAATCACAGCATATCCACGAAGTAATGATGACGAGTGGGGCGAAGTGAATGGACGGCTGGAAGGGCCGACGGAAGGACGGCTGGAAGCAAGGAAATAGATGGAAATACAGATTAACGCACGGACGAACGTACAGATGGACGCACGAGAGGACGGATGCGTAGGTGGATGAATGAACGAACGCATGAATGGACAGATGCACGGATTGACGGATGGACGCACAGTTGGACGCACGAATGGATGTACGAATGGACGGATGCACGAATGGACGAATGGACGCACCGATGAACAGATCGACGCTCAGACGGACGGAAGGACAGAAGCACTGACGGACTGATGGATGCTTCGCCCCACTCATCAACATTCACTCCATGTATATGCTGTGATTTTTATTATTTATCACACTACATGTAACATCCTCTAGTACCGTGCCATTTGCATTTTCAGCGTATATACATTTTGTTATATGTACAGGTATCATCCTCTATGACCGGTTGAAGAACTAATGAGAGGTGGCTACATACGATTACGGCGGGACGCTCAGCCTACGCCTAAAGGAGTGTTATGACCATCATCGTTATTGAACTCTTTCGGCCTTTCTGAGCTGGACGAAAATATTTCGACGCATTTCAAGCAAAGACGTGCCGTCAAGACGAGTTGATTTCTTCTCAGCAAAAGGTGAACAAGGGGTCCAGGACCGGTTCGCGCAAATAAAACGCAAAAGGAAAAAAAGGTCATTCTTAACTCGACTCCATTCAAGGCTTTCCAGGGAAAAAAAAAGGCAACTGGGCCGCTTTCAAGGTCACCGTGGATCTGGAGAAACCAGAACCAGCGTGGTATTTGGAGTGTGGTCTGAAAGCTTAAACCAAAACCTTGCGAGAAAAAGCAAAGCTTGTTCGAGGAGAAGCCAAGTCCCGGAAATTCGTCGTTCAGCCGTAATTTCTAGCAAACGACGAGGGATTGAATGCGTGCTTGAAGGAAAGGAGAAAGGCACTATCGTCTGCAGCCCTTGCGGGAGCACGCCTCCGCGCCTCGACGAAGAGGGATTAGTCGACCACTTCTTCCTCCTCTCTCTATGGCATCGACTAAATGGAGTGGCAGGTTTGACGGTAAGCTCTCAGGCCCACGTTCGGGTAGGACTACATCGTCCTACCCGAACGGAATCAGGGAAGTTTGGCACATGTACCGCCAGCCACTTCTTCCAACCCCACCCTGCTGCCGGAAGAGTTCTTGGAAACCAAGGTCAGCTAGGACCATCAGACGTACGCAAAATCTTGGTGACGGGGGCAAAACGTTGGTGCAGTGTGTTCGTGACCATATTTAGGCATTGTGTAGGCTGTGCCCTCTCCACGTGCATTTGGTAGTCTCTTTCCCCGCCTTCGTGGGCTGAACACCTAGACCATTAAACGCCGTATTGGCTGAAACCACAGACAATGCGCCCAGGGTTCGCAACGCGGCGCTATAAAAGCGAAAGACCTTTTGCATATTTTCAGTTCTCCTGTTCAGTTCTAGGCTTTTTGAGTTCTACTTGATCACTTGATCACCTCTTTTCTAATTCTCTGTTACTAACCATGTGAATAAATTGTTGTCGTTCTTACGAGCACCTCATCTAACTTGTTTGATGATAGATCCTGAAACGGGGGCCCGCTACCAAACTGAGACCCACATGAACCTGAGTCACAACATAATCTTCTCTCCTAAAAAATGTTGACGCGACATTCGAGCCCGGCTGGCCACAGTCCGAATGAGATTGTTTTTGGTACACTGCTGTCCAGGCTGAACAAGAATTTAAGAAATAATTGCGCTGTTTTGGGTGCGAGAAAGAGAAAAGCATGAAGAGAAAGAGAGAGAGAGAAATAGAATGAAAAACAAAAAGATATGAATGGTGAAAGCAAATGGCAGAAACAAAATAGATGCTAGCCATATGTGGTATTGTATAAAAAGGGTGGCCGTGCCAAATGATGTTGACCACAACTGAATGTCCAATGAAATGGGGACAAAATCAATGTTCTCTATAAGCACGTTTGCACGACTTTGGGACACCAGCCGGAAAACCAGGACAAGTCCCGCCTAAATCGAGACATCTGGTCGCCATAATCTAGCATGAGTAGTCATGTAGCGTTACCTCGCTGTATGAAACATCGCGCTCGCACTTACGTTCTCACATTCAAAGACAGCCGCCTCTTGAACCATGCGTTGGCCATTGCAATGCAGCATTGAACTTGGATAGCAGATATGTCAAATTACCTTTTCTTTTGGTGTTTCTAAAAAAGTGTCTACGTCATATATTTCAATAGCCAACAACTTTCTATGCAAGCAATGGCATAAAAAAGTTAGCAACTTAAACTGAAGGTAGTAACTAAAATGCTCGTAACCGAGTTTTCTTAGTTGCGCATTTCTGTATAACTTGAGGTTCAATAGGTATTCAAAACTCGGCGTAGAGCAGGCATGCGCAGACGACAGGTATCTCTCACAGCGGTTTTTTTTTTTTTGAGGAAGTATAGATATTTTTAATAAAGCAACACCCTGAATACCACTTAACCAGAGAACAAGCATTGTGCAGCAGATGATATCACTCTGAATGCCAGGCTTTAGCAACTGTAAAACGACGATTTGCGCTCTTCGAATACTTATTCGAATGCCAACATTGTGGTTTTTTGTTGCTGGCGCTCCGTGGATGCTTTCAATTCCGATGTGCATGTTGTGATTTCAAGATTACGTGCACAGTTTTACATCAGTAAACAAACGGCTGTTTGGTTTGTGCTGTTACGAAAGTAATTGAATCGACTCACTTCTGGCTACATTCAATTGGATTAAGCTACCTGCTCATTATTTGTCAAAATCGCTGTCTGCAGACCAGCAGTACAAGGCCTCCTAACTTGGAGGCTATTCACTGAAATCGCATACCTCTTTCTTGTTCTGTCCGCCCTGCTTCTTGTCGGCGTCGACACGGTAGGTCTCGAGCGACGACTTGCTTCGTCTTTTGCTCTTGCGACGACTCGACGAAGAAGATGCGGAATCTCGATGCGATCGCTGCGAGCTTTTTCGATTGTCGGGAGTGGCCGGCTGGTCAGCGACACGTCTCTTGGTCTTAACAGACCCACTCCTCTCCGTAGCCTCGGCGACGACGGCGTTGCTCGTGGCCTTACCTGGCTCCTCTGATGAGCACGTCGAAAGGTGGATAAAGCGCGCACTTTAAACGGGGTAAAATACAACTAACTCTGAAACTGTGATTTTTATTGTCTTGTGTTTAAAAATTTGGTCAACAAAAAGAGGCACAACAGCAGAGTCAAGTTACATATAAACAAAATATCTCTAAAATATCTTCCCACGAAATAGTTGTTTATATAAACGCAGTTACTGATACAAGCAAATCCGAATGTTAATTCTTTGTGGAATTTGTTGAAGAAGAGAAAACGGAAACCTGCGTGCACGTTTGTTTCTCTGTAAACCACGATCATTTGAATGTTTTTATTACATTTAATATTACATCACAGGCCCCGGAAGAGGCATAAGACGACAGAGGCATACAGTACAATAAAATCTTTTAAATACGCGTATTACCAGAAATTCATGACCTTGCGCAATAGTAGGAAGGAAAATAGGGGCAAAGAACGGCAGAGAGGTTAACCAGTCTGTAGGAAGCCAGTTTGCTACCCTGTGCATGGGAGGGGGATGGAGAGATGAAAGATAGAGGAGAGAGGGAAGAGAGATAAACGCAGCATATTAGGCAGCACAGGCGCGCACTCTCAGTCATAGTCGAGTCTTGTCTTTCGTGGTGTGGGACATTGCTGTTACAGCCGCTTGTTCAAGTCCATGTGGCACAGGAGTAAGTGTAGATTGCAGTTACAGTACACGATTTAATACATGCTATTTTTTATTGGAAAGGCAGCTGTTGAGAAATGACGTTTAGGCGCTAATATTCAGCGCTGCTGTTCAAGAAAGCTGTTCACGAGTGGTTTACAATAGCATGCAAAGACACTCGCAAAATTTGAATAAGAGAGTGCGAAGCATGTTCATCGAAAGTAAGAACATATTTCGATGATTTAACAAATCCTCGTTATTTCCGAAATAAACTGTATACGTAGACTGGGAAGTCGTATTGTTACCCGATTACACCCTGCTCCTGCGAAAGTTCTGAATTTTTAGAAAAAAAAACTAACGCTGTTATGAATGTCTACGGGCTAAAATGAACGTGTTGACGCATATATTGATTGTCTTGTATAGCGAAGATAAGCACAATCCCGAAAAAAATTGTGGCGTGATGCAGAATGATTTTTTAATGACAGTCAGTGCCTCACCTTGGATATTGACATACCTTTGCTGGTACTCAGCTTAATAAGGACTACTTTTAATTGCCTCGTTATTATCCTCGGTAATCAAACGAACCAGTAATTAGGGCCACTTAGAAAAAGCGACATCACTTCCCTTAGTCATGCTATAGACAATGAGCATTACTTACGGAATACTAAAACAAGCAGTCTGGCTATCAATGTTAAAGCTTGGCATCTCATTGGTTTTCGATAGCCGCATGTAACTGGCCTCTCTCAGATGGTTGCATAGAGACTTTCACTTGAGGAGGAAAGTTTCCGTTGTAAATGTTTATGAGAAAAGTTTGTGTATTTGCGACTACAAAAACACCCCTTTCGCCTGTTTTCACTGTTCCTTCATTACACCAGTGGTGTGTATGCAAGTGTTCTGGATGACAGCGAGATGTCTTAGGGCATCTCCGGAAGCGCAAGGTTGAAAATAGTTGCGCATGTTTGCCCTTAGTCGAAAAATATTTTTGGGTCACCAATTTAATTAGGTTTAGACAGTTCAAAAAAAATTGCCCGCAGCTTCCCTCGGGGGAACACTGAGGAGGATGCGGAGCATATAATTGGTTAACGGGGTGTTAAAGTGTGACTTACTTGGGTCGATGGCTAAATTGGTTAACATGGTTGTGAAATGGGGTGTTAAATTGCGACTTACTTGGGTCGCTGGCTAAATTGGTTAACGTGTTTGTAGGCGGGGTGTTAAAGGAGTGAACACGTACGACACGTATGCGAAAGGGCGGTGTTTATTTATTGCGACGAACTTTGCAGCGGCTTCACGTTCTCTAAGTTGAGCATCTTCCGCTCGACGCCGACGTTTACGTTCGGCGTCGCGAGCTCTTCTCCGCGCTGCCTTGTCTTCGGACGACGACTTGGTTGCGGTTCCGCCAACACTTTGGCCGGCGCTGGTCGAAGGGACGTCGATCATTGCGACCTCGGACGTCGACGCGCCGTACAAACCAACCGACGAGCGGCAACTGAGCGAGTGAGCACCGACCTTGAGGATATATACAGCGCGACGGCGCATGCACTGTCAGCTGTCGAATGTTCGAGAAGGGGGAGAAGCGCAACGGCGCATGCGCGCGCGTCAGCTGCCGATGTTCTCGAAGCGTGACGGCGCATGCGCGCTACATTATACAGCTAGCGAATGTTCGTGAAGAGGAGAAGCGCGCGCGGTGTGTAGAGGAGGAAGGTTGCACAGATGGTGGAGGAGTAAAGCGCGCGCGGTGTGTAGAGGAGGAAGGGATGCACAGATGGTGGAAGAAGGAGGAGGAAGCTTGCGGACGGCGCCGCACTACAAGCCTCGAGCATTAGATGCTCCGCATCTAAAACAAAAAATGGCAGATTCCACGTACAGTGGGAATCAATGATATGCAAAACATGAGTTAGAAATGTGGCCGCTTGGGCTAGTTGGTATGGTATGACGATAGTAATAGCGCCAGAACAGACCGATGACACACAGACAAGAAGGACACGAAGGACACGAGCGCTAACTTCCAATTGGAAGTTAGCGCTCATAATCTTCGTGTCTTTTTTGTCTCTGTGCCGTCGTTCTGTTCTCGCGCTATAACTATCGTCACGAGTAAGAAAAGTTGATGTGTCACTTTTAAGTCAGCACAATGTTACCAGGTAGAGAAAAGTTGTTGATATGTCACTTTAAAATCAGCACAACGTTACCAAGTAGAGGTAAATGATGCCGTACATGACTTCCGTGTCATGATTATCATGTCACGTGATACCAAATTTTGCATATGTGGAGCTACCGAAACAGCCACAAGCACGCTATTAGCATGGCATGTGTCATGTTCTTACATGACACGAGTGTCAGGATTATCATGCTTGCACCAGTTATATATTTCGTCATCCGTTGACTTCACGTAACACCAAATTTGGTATATGTCGAGCTAGCAAAACGGCCGCGAGCGCATCATGAAGCGTTCAATATACTCCAATGTAGCGTTGACGCGCGCGCACGCTGGACACAGCGACGCTACGTTAGCAAAACGCGAGAACTCTATAGTCGGACGCCAGGCGCGACCGGCAAGACCAGCGTCCGTTGGCGTGGTCCGACGGCAACCGGCGGGAAATTCGCGCCGATGCGTTAGCCAGACAACACTGCGTCTCTTTTTGTGACGCAGGGACACCGGACACACTGAACCGCGCATGCGGCAAAGCAACGCAGTGCGGCGCACGCCTGCGAGTATATGGCAAAACGAGCGCCTGGCGTTGCAACGCCGGTGTGACACGACGAAATGAACGCCAGTGAGTACGTGCACCACTTCATGTTGAAATGCATTGGCGCCTTGACTGTGGCATGCAGTCATGTTCTCACATGACATGAACCTTATAATTATCATGTTTGCACCAGTCGCATGCCTCGGTCATCCATTGGCGTCCCTTAATACCAAATTTGGCATATCTGAAGCTAGCGAAACGGCCGCGAGCGCATCATGAGTGTGGCATGCAGTCATGTTGTTGCGTGAAACGCATGTCGTGTTTATCATGTTTGGATGTGTCATTTACCTATGTCGTCCACTCGCATCGCGTAATACCATGTTTGTGCATGTGAAGCTAGCGAAACGGCGGCAAGCGCATCATAAGCGTAGCATGTAGTCATGTTGTTACATGACATGCATGTCATGATTTTCATGTTAGGCTCTGTCGCTTGTGTTCGCCATACAATCATGTCATACCATACCAGTTTTGCACCATGCCATGTGAACATAACCACCGCAAGAGCAGCAGAACCATAAAACGTAAATCGTGAGATTCATGAAATACATGTCAAGATTTTCATGTCATAACAAGTCCGATATGTTCTTCATACAGTCAAGTTATGCCATGCGAAGTTTCGTATCGGTACCGTTATCGAAACGGCCGGGAGAGCTAAATGTAATAGATAGATAGATAGATAGATAGATAGATAGATAGATAGATAGATAGATAGATAGATAGATAGATAGATAGATAGATAGATAGATAGATAGATAGATAGATAGATAGATAGATAGATAGATAGATAGATAGATATAGATAGATAGATAGATAGATAGATAGATAGATAGATAGATAGATAGATAGATAGATAGATAGATAGATAGATAGATAGATAGATAGATAGATAGATAGATAGATAGATAGATAGATAGATAGATAGATAGATGGATAGATAGATAGGTAGATAGATAGATAGATACGCTTGAAGTCACCGAAGTTCGCTAAGAAATGCTTCGCATTTGAAAAAACCTACAAGTGACTGATCCAATGTAGTTGATTGTAAAAAAAAAAAGTGACCATTCTAGAGTCCTTGATTAGAAGCTTAGCTATTTTAACGGGCCACTCACCCACATTTTAGTTAGACCACTCCCATTTTAGTTAGACGATGGAAGCTGTTGGGTATCCAATTAGGAATATTCTCCTAAAAAGATTTTTTGAATCGGTTCATTACGAACTGAGAGAACTGTTTTTTTTTTTTTTTTTGAAGCGGCGCGAAACGACGAATAAAGGAGGCGAGCTCAAAGCCCTTGCCGCTCCTCCGCGTAGCCTTCGCAAGCCAAATCGCTGCCCTATCCCCTCCTGCTTCCGACCAAGAGGTCACGTGCGCATGACGAGCCGAACAAGCGCAACTCCTGCGCACGCGAGCGGCGTTTTTTTTTTTTTCGTTATTATTGCTGTTGTTGACCAGCGCTGTTTCGATGTCTACTGCCTGTTTCTGCGGGATAGTTTGGAAACGCTAGCTTAGACGCGGTAGAATACATGAACAAAATGGGTGCGCGAACGCGTGGGAGCGTTCTACGGCTGTTGTCTTCTCGATGCGCTGACCGCGGGAACACGAATGCATGCGAAACGCCGGCACATTAGCCCGCGAATCTCGTTGCGA